TAAATAAGTAACAGTCTTTTCTTCGACAAATTGAATAATGTTTTTTTGATTTGTTATCAGTCTAGTACAAGTGCACCAAAGAAGAGGAGATGAGCTGAGGACCCTATGGGCACTCAAAAATCAATAACACCAAAGAAGAAGAAATGAATTGTCTGATCGAGTGGGTCTTTTATTGTGTTGTTTTTTGTCAGGGAATATGTTTGGGTTGTGCTTTTTTTGTGTATGGAAAATATCTGTCTAACTTGATATGAGATACCTTTTAGCACAAATATATGTATGTGAACTGTTAAATAGGCAAGAGCCCGCCCCTTAAGATTATCACATTACTTTTCCAGCTTGTTTGAATAGGCCAATCCAATTTTATTGGTTTCTTCAGTTTAAGCAGTGGTTAAATAATCGAATACATGTTATGTTCCGACAAGCATGTCAAATAAAACAAAGGCTAAGGTCTAACTTAAGTATTAAATAATGAAAACTTTAAACATGTATGTAGAAAAATTAATTTTGGGTATTCCTCTACGAGCATGTGGAGATGCATATTAGTGTTCATTGTGCCCTAAGAACATTTTGGAAATAATAAAATTTGAAGGTAAGATTTATATATATATACATATATATATATGAACAAAATAAAATTTTCGAATTAACTCGCCAAGAGAATAGAAAACACTAAACTTAATCATTTGTTCTTAATAAGTAACAGTCAAACACTTAATAATAGACATACATAAACACTTAATCTTTAACAAAACACCTAAAGTGCTATTGCAAGTACAATTACCACAAAGATACATATGACACACACCATTGAGCAAATACACTTGTCTTATAAAATTCTTTTTTTTCTTCTTCATTTTTTTAGATTTTTCCTTCAAGCTCTTAATATTTCGCTTTAATTAATTGTCATTGTCTTTACTTTGTACACTTCCAATTTCTTTCACTTTGCTTTGAACACTTTCACTTTCATTCTCTTCCAACAACACACTATTCATTTGAGCAGTAGAAGTAAGGGAACAACTTGTAATATGTCTTCTAAGTCTTGCATTCTCTTTCGTTAAATTTCGCTCGCTATCACGTAATTGTCGTAGTAAGTAATTTGTTCGCTCTGGCATGCTACCATCATACCATTCAAAATACCTAAAACCGTGCTACAATAAGAGGGAAAACATATTTATTATCAATCGATATATGCAATAACACTTTATCGTACATGCATTCTTTATCTCAAGCTAACTAATACAATGTCATTATAAACATATTCTTACCTAAAAATTTGAGCAACCGTAATACCTTCTTCCGGGGTTTAAATCACTCCATGAAATTTCCCTAGGTGCCAATTTATTGCAATAACACTTTTTTGGTTCACCGTCGTACACGAAATGTTGTCGAGAAGAACTAACAATGGTTGGAGATTCGAACCTGCCCATTAGACAATTTCCACTAAAACCCAAAACATACAAACAAGATTAATTATTAAATCAATTAACAAAACAATATTTATTTCGAACTAAACCAAATAAAAACTAAAATTTATGCGTAAAACACAAACCCACAGAATAAATCATTTTGAACAAAAGTATGCAACAATGTTAAAGAACTCTGAACAACTCATTCATACAATCTACAAAACTCATTCGAAACCCGCACAAACCCAAAACATTTAACAAAACTTAATCGAAAACCCATTCAAAATTGAGGAAATAATTGATGCTACGATTCAAAAAAAATCAACTCGCCTTCGAAATATACGATTGTGTAATTGGTTTGAAGCTGCTGCTTGAAGGAAAATGAAGAATTTGAGAGGAGAAATAATTTGAAATATTGGGATATCTAAACCCTAATATTTTAGGAAAATCAGTTTGAAGATCCCTGTGAGATATTTGAAACACGTGTTTCATTTTGTTTAATTAAATTGAACATTTATTATGGGTTAAATAAGGTTTTGTTTCATTACAAAACCGAGTAGTATGCTTGGCCTAATGGCAAGGGGCATCCCATTTTACGCCTTTGCCCTAAGTTCGAGTCCCCTTTCACGCAAGTAGTTGGTTTTTATTCATTCTTTTCAATACGCACCAATAGGAGAGTGACAGGTGTCGCTCTCTCATTGGCACAAATTCTCATTAAAATTCATTTTTTTTAACAAAAAGAAAAGGTTTACGTGTCAATTCCACGTCAGCAATACTACTTTTGTGATAAACAAAATAAAATTCATTAGTTTACAATATTTTTTCTTTTGAAATATTTTGAACATGATTTTTACACCGCTTAGAGTGTCTCGTATGTGTTAATAATAGTCTCAATTGAAACTTAAGTATCAATATTACGCCTTTAATCTTATAAATGGCAAAAAAATTCAGATTAACTTCTCGAAAATGCTCTTCGACCATGCCTATCAAGCCATGTTCGCTTCTTCTTCATGTACAAAACCAATCTTTGGAACCATTTTGAACACGATTTTTACTCCGCTTACAATGTCTCGTATGTGTCGATATTACGATCGAAAGATAAGTTACAATACTAGGCCTCTAATCTTATAAATTACTAATTTTTTAGATTAACTACCCAAAAAAAACCCTCGAACATGCCTATCAAACCATTTTAACATTTTATTCATATACAAAACAAACTTTGGAACCATTTTAAACATGATTTTTAACTCGCTTACAATATATCGTATGTTTCGATATTGATCTCAAGTAAAAGATAAATTCTCATACTAAACCTCTAGTCCTATAAATTACGAAAATATTGAGATTAATATACTTCGATCATGCCTGTAAACACTTGCGATTTGGGCTTAAAAATTACATACCTCGCATTTTGTTTAATGCGAGGTATGTTAAATACCACACGCAATAAATTTCTCGGGATGTTTCAATATCTTCGAAACCTTACGTTTTGTGTAACGAGGTCATTAATTAAAATATTAAATTGCTTTCTCTGAAAAGTGTATCCACGTTGGATGAACCTCACGACTTGTATAATGCGAGACTTTCACTCGCTTTTCTTAGGACGGGAAGTAGTCTTGCTTATACAGTTTAAGATTTTTTTTTTTACAAATCTAGTTTGGGGTACTGTTAAAAAATTAGTTTTTTGGGTTTTTAAGGTAATAATGCCGCCGAGCATACTATATTTTTCCAAAGAAGGGAGATGTGTGGGTTCTTGATAACATACTCGAGTTGAAACCGATAAGCCGAAACTTCTTTTGATAATACATCCATAGTGCAGGTAATTTGTCTTTTATATTTCCTGATGACATGTTCATGAACTATTTCATTAACAAATTGTACATGTATTTCTTCTTGCAGCTTGATCATCGTATCTTTGCAACTAACACTTTGATCTCCATTTGTGGTTTATGGCGGTGGACAAAAAGGCTGGACGCCCATCCGGCTATTTGATCTTTGGTCGGAGTTAATGCAGCCGATCTGTAATGAATAAAGTCAACTGAAAATCGTGTGCATTGTTGTCTCTGTGTCTCATGAGTCATGCCACGTATCGTTCGAATGAGCTAATAGCTGCCACATGGAAGAGCCAAAGCCCCACACATAGGTTCCAAGAAACACCTAAACAGCACGTCTTTTTAACCTCGTCGGGATTCACATAGTTTCTTGGCTCGGGCTAGGGTAACATTAGTTCAGTTTATTTCTTTGGGTTTTTCAACCTTCCGTTTAAGGGAGGAAAACGTTAAAAAGACACAGACAAAGTCAGGCACTTGAAATTACTAGGAAAAATTACACGAAGAAAACGGAGAATCAGAATTTATCTACACTACATATAACCCCCGTAAATACCTTGTTAGAATCCAGTCGCGTTCGTACGCTCTCGTCATTGAGGGTTCTCTTTCTACCAAAAGAAAAAAAAAAAGTGAATACATTGGCATGACCTGACCTGCGTCTTGTCATGTTTTACCACGCGCCAACAACCCCGACTAAGACATTGACATGCTTCGCCCAAATTAAGACTTCATGTGTACAAAGGCTGCTAGAAGATTAATACATGACACATGCAAACATTTTTCCCAAAAACAAAACATAATTTCCATATTGCTTTCTAACTTTAAACCCGAAATAATTATAAATAATTTCCATATGCAAATATCAAATATTCACTATATATTATTGATGTATTATTTATAAATTTCGGTTAATCGATCAATTAATCGAACTTAATTTGGTTCGATTAATTTAAATAAAATATTTGGTTCGGCTAGGGGTCAAAGGAAAACAAATTGATAAATAATTCAGTTCGGTCGGTTAATCGAATTAACTGTTTAAACACCTCTAGTTTTGACCATCCAACTATTAGTTCGGTCGGTTAATCCAAATATTAGTTTTAGTTCCCTTTTAGTCACACGTCATTAAAATTAGCGTGTTGATGTGTTACTATAAAATAATTCTATTTCATCATTTAGAAAATAAAAAATATCACGACAACAGTTATATTTATTTTTTAATTGTGGGTAACCAAAATGAAATCAAAATATAACGTTTGGTATGGTTTTGAAAAAATATATCATGTTAGTACCGTTGATCGTCATGTCAATATTGTGAACGTCATATTAGTATCGTGGACTACCACATCAGCATCGTAACAGTTAACAACGAAAATTGTTTATCAAAGGACCAAATTGAATTTTTTTAATAATTTGAAGGTCACATTAATTTGTTTGGAAAAGTTTGAGTACTTTAAATACTATTAAAGCTATATAATTTTAATATCTACCCTATTACTTGATGTAGTAAGCCACGTGAAAAATGTTTCGCTCAATTATTTGAACAATGAACAGGTGGCCGACCCTCGAAGTGGAAAGCTGATCAAAAGATAAGGTTGATCTGCATAAGGGTCCATTTGGATTAAAAATCTTTCATCGCCATTGATTTGAAGACTTGCTATAAAAAAAGCAGCTTCCCCTTGCCACATTCCACTGCAAAATCTCTCTTTACATACACATATAGATATACTAGTAAGTAGTAAATAGTAATCAACCCTTTGGAGCTGAAAACATTAATAGCCTTGCCGAAGAAATGAAGGCTTTCTTGGAAAGCAAGGAAGGAGTTAAAGGGCTGGTGGACTCCGGGATTACCAAGATTCCCAGTTTCTTCATCCGTCCTGCAGATTCCATGGATGCCACCTTAGCCGCGCCGCACCTTCAGATTCCGGAAATAGACCTCAAAGGCTTCGAGGGCGAGCACAGAAGGGAAATCGTGGATGCCATACGTGATGCAGCTCAAACTTGGGGCTTCTTCCGAATGGTAAATCACGGCGTTCCGGTTCCCACTATGGAAAATATGATAGACGCCATTCGTCAGTTCCATGAACAACCTCAAGACGTGAAGAAAGCTTGGTATTCACGTAACGAAAGCGGACAGAGGCTCGTCGACTGTAATACCAACATAAAAGCGGCAGCATGGAGAGATACTCTGGTAGTTGAATTCCCAGATGGAGAAATAAACGAACAAGCTATACCTCAAGTTTGCAGGTTCAACAATGATTAACCGTATCTAATATTTTATCAGTGAAGAAATTTACTTTTGATGGCTTTTTTGCAGGAAGGCAACGAGTGAGTACATGAAACACATAGTGCAACTGAAGGATACATTATCTGAACTGATATCGGAGGCTTTGGGGCTAAGGAGACACTACTTGGCAAGCATTAAATGCATGGAACGTGCTCTTATTCAATGCCATTATCATCCTTCATGTCCTCAGCCTGAGCTGACCTTAGGCACATCCACCCATACCGATGCATCGTTTTTAACTATACTTTTGGAAAATAATATCGATCGATTCCAAGTTCTTCATCAGGATCAGTGGGTCAATGTGCCTCATCGCCATGGATATCTAATTGCCAATATTGGCGACCTTTTGCAGGTATATAGCAAAGTTTATTCATCTTAAAAATTGACATCCTATAGGTCTTTTTTTTACATAAAATGGTAAATAAATATAAATGTTTTGTAGATTGTTTCAAATGACAAGTTCAAAAGTGTAATACATAGAGTATTAGCCGGAAGAGTGGATCCAAGAATCTCTGCTGCATGTTTCTTTGCTCCGATGCCTGCTCTTAAAGATAAACCATATGGAGCAGCCGAGGAACTTGTGACGGCGGATAATCCACCCGTTTACAAAAGAACAAGCTTGCACCAATATCTCTCTTGTTACAAGTTGAATGGAAAAGATGCCAGGCTAGTCCTCCCTCATTTTAAGAATTCATGTCATGTGGAGTAATCTTAAATCCCTAAAAGGATACCGGTGCTACTAGCTACGTGAGCAACCATAAATGAGAATTGAACGTATAGGGATGCTATAGTTGAGCAGTTCAAGCTTGACTCACTTAAAATTTAGTTTACGTTTGACTTGAACTCGAACTTGAGTTGAGAACTTAATGAATCGAGTCGAATAAGGTTCAACTCAACTTGATATGTTTCGTGAGTAACTTGTTAATTAGCTTTTAAGATTGATTATGATTTATTAAAATTTTGTTTTTCAAGAATGGTTGTAACATATCAGTTTGATGTATTTATGTGTTATTACTTTGGTTGTGATATGTTAGTTTGCTAAATTTATGGATTGTTGACTTTGCACTTTAAAATTTAAAATTATTTTATACATTATTTTGATATTTTTTGTTAAATTTGTTAATTTATATTTATATTAAGCTTCTACATAGGATTATAAGATTTTACATATATCTAAAAAAACAAAATAAGAGTTATGAAGAGTTTAATGAACAATAAGTTAAGTAAACAACGATTTTTTTTAACGAACATAAATCGAGTAAAGTTTTACCAGACTTTTAGAGTATCAAATCGAATTAAACGTAAATTAAACAGTTTTTGAATTAAATCAAAAATTATTTAACTCATAATTGACTCACTAAATAAAATACGCCGTTGAATAAAATTTTACTTCAATATAAATTTCTTAATATTATATATTAATGAAAAAAACTAAAAGTCCGTCAAAGTGGGTTGTGTTTATTTACATCACCAATATCTTGTAAAAGGAACAAAATTTCTTCAAATAAATGAACAACAAATAAACTAAGGTAAAAAGGCATCAAAGTCCCTCAAACTTAAAAAAAAAAAAAAACCAATGTGACCCATATATTTTTTAGAGATCAATATAGCCCTCTAACTCGAAAAAAAATCCAATGACCGTTTGACTAACGTTTTTCGTCATTGACGAAGATTTCGTTAATTCATGTTGTTATAAAATAGGTAAATCACACCTTTCATCACTCAACTATTTTCTTCTCTTCTATTTTGGTCACTAAATTCTAAAAAAAATTAATACAATGATATTTATCGTTATTTTATTATATGGTTAAATTTATTAAACTATTTAGAATTAAAATAATATCAAATTGATATAATTTTTAAATATTAAAAAATGAATTTATTAAATCATATTTTAAATTCAGACTAACCTGATTAAATATATAAATATTAAAACTAAATGTGTTATTTTATATATTTTAAAGTTATCATGTCATCATTATTATCTAGAATTAAAATAAGATTAAATTGATATAATTTATAAATATTAAAAAAAATCTTAAATCATATTTTAAATTAGGACTAACCTGATCTAATTATCTTTCTATGTAGTGATAAGAATTAAATCAATCATATAATTTAATGACCAATCACATAGTTTAATCCAGGGAGTACAATAAAGATGACAGTAAATAGGGTGTCAGATAATTGTCCACTTATGTATGCTTTGATGCTATGAAGAGAGGTTTGAAAGAATGATGTAAGCCTATAATCGGTCTAGATGGTTGCTTCCTTAAGGGCCCATTCAAAGGCATATTTTTATCTGTTGTTGGGAGATATGGCAATGATCAGATGTACCTTATCGCATAGGTTGTTGTCGAGCGTGAAAGCACAGATTCTTGGTCTTGGTTTATAAGTATAGTGGCAGCATACTTGGGATTGGATTATGGATTTGGCTACACCATCATCAGTGACCAACACATGGTAATTAAATTTATTAAATTTACTTGATGCTAGTTGTTAGTTTACTGTTAATAGTCTGAGTTGATGTTGTTATATCACTTGCTGCTATATCTCAAATTGCCACTATAGTATTAATTGCTAATTGCAATTGGTCTACAAAAAAAACTTGTTTGTTTATTTCTAATGCAACATTCTAGATCAATTGAAAAGGATATTTGTCTGAAAACTAAAATTAGTTACAAGCAATGTTTAGATATTGTTTTATGATAAGTGAATAAAATCTTAAATAAGTAAAATTTTGTTTAACAGGGTATTGAGATTGATGTAAATGATGTTCTACCACGATTAGAACATCGAAATTGTTCTCGACACATGTTTGCGAATTGGATTGGAATGAAGAGAGCAAAAGTATATCAGTTTGTCTTTTAGCAAATTGTGAAGTCCACGACTGAAAGATAATGGGAGGAAAACAAAGATGCACTGTCAAAGATTGATAGCATACTTGCAACTAAATTGTTTAGAAAAAAAAAAGAGAAAATGTGGACCAAGGAAAAAATTTGACATCATGAAGAAATACATCATTCAGTGGAGAATGATTTGGAATGGAGATAATGGATGTGAGGTAAAGAAAGGGACTAAGAAGTACATTTTAAACTTGAATGAAAGAACATGTACCTGTAGAAGGTGGCAACTATGTGGGATTCCGTGTCCGCATGATTGTTGTGTAATATGGCATACTGGTAGGGACCCAGATGAGTTTTTACATTCCTATTATCATAAAGACACATACAGTAAATCATATTGCTTTACAAATATTGAAAAAAATCTGGAATTGACCATGTTCTTCCACCTGTTGATAGAGATATGTCTGGAAGGCCTAAAAAATCGAAGGAAGCAAAAAGATTAACCAAAAAAAAGTCAAGTCTGAACATATTAGTAGGATTGGTCTTATTATGACTTGTAAAAATTGTGGTGGACAAAGTCATAATAAAAGATCATGTACTTAGCCTAAAACCGCAAACCAGGTATTTAGAGTTAATGTATTGAGTTTGGTGTAAAACTTAAAGTTATGCTAGATTTTTAAAGTAGAATTTTTTTGTTGCATGAGAACAATACGGATGGGAATTCTTCAACAAGATCAGCAAGTACGATCGTATCAAACCCAACACACGTATCAAGGAAAGAAAGGAGAAACAAAAGGCATGTGTTACTTCCGATAGATTAACGAGGAAAAAAGATACGAAGGGATAGACCTTTACACAAATTTGAGGACTGGTACAAGTAACAGTCTTTTCTTCGACAAATTAAATAATGTTTTAATTTTCTTATTTGTTATCAGTCTGGTACAAGTACACCAAAGAAGAGGAGAGGAGCTAAGGACCCTATGGGCACTCAAAAATTAATAGCACCAAAGAAGAAGAAATGAATTGTCTGGTCGAATGGGTATTAATGAGTATTTTGTTGTGTTGTTTTTTGTTAGGGTATATGTTTGGGTTGTGCTTTTTTTGTGTATGGCAAATATCTGCCTAACTTGATATGAGATACCTTTTAGCACAAATATATGCATGTTAACTGTTAAATAGGCAAGAGCCCGCCCCTTAAGATTATCACATTACTTTTCCAGCTTGTTCGATTAGGCCAATCCAATTTTGTTGGTTTCTTCATTTTAAGCAGTTGTTAAATAATCGAATACCTGTGATGTTCCGACAAGCATGTCAAATAAAGCAAAGGCTGAGGTCAAACTTAAATATTAAATAATGAAAACTTTAAACTTGTAAGTAGAAAAATTCATTTTGGGTATTCCTCTACGAGCATGTGGTGATGCATATTAGTGTTCATTGTGCCCTAAGAACATTTTGGAAATAGGAAAATGTGAAGGTAAGTTATATATATATATATATATATGAAGAAAATAAATTTTTTGAATTAACTCGCCAAGAGAATAGAAAACACTAAACATAGTCATTTGTTCTTAATAAGTAACAGTCAAACACTTAATAATAGACATACATAAACACTTAATCTTTAACAAAACACCTAAAGTGCTATTGCAAGTACAATTACCACAAAGATACATATGACACACACCATTGAGCAAATACACATTGTCTTATAAAATTCTTTTTTTTCTTCTTCATTGTTTTAGATTTTTCATTCAAGCTCTTAATCTTTCGCTTTAATTTATTGTCATTGTCTTTACTTTGTACACTTTTAATTTCTTTCACTTTGCTTTGAACACTTTCACTCTCTTCCAACAACACACTATTCATTTGAGCAGTAGAAGTAAGGGAATAACTTGTAATCTGTCTTCTAAGTCTTGCATTCTCTTTCGCTAAATTTCGCTCACTATCACGTAATTGTCGTAGTAAGTAATTTGTTCGCTCTAGCATGCTAGCATCATACCATTCAAAATACCTACAACCGTGCTACAATAAGGGAAAACATATTTGTTATCAATCGATATATGCAATAACACTTTATCGTACATGCATTCTTTACCTCAAGCTAACTAATATAAGGTCATTATAAACATATTCTTACTAGAAAATTTGAGCAACCGTAATACCTTCTTCTGGGGTTTAAATCACTCCATGAAATTTCCCTAAGTGTCCATTTATTGCAATAACACTTTTTTGGTTCACCGTCGTACATGAAATGTCGTCGAGAAGAACTAACGATGGTTGGAGATTCAAACCTGTCCATTAAACAATTTCCACTAAAACCCAAAACATATAAACAAGATTAATTATTAAATTAAATCAATTCACAAAACAATATTCATTTCGAACTAAACCAAATAAAAACTAAAATTTATGCGTAAAACACAAACCCATATAATAAATAATTTTGAACAAAAGTATGCAACAATGTTCAAGAACTCTGAACAACCCATTCATACAATATACAAAACTCATTCCAAACCCGCACAAACCCAAAACATTTAACAAAACTTAATCGAAAACCTATTCAAAATTAAGGAAATAAATGATGCTTCGATTCAAAAAAAAATCAACTCACATTCGAAATATACGATTGTGTAATCGATTTGAAGCTACTACTTGAAGGAAAATGAAGAATTTGAGAGGAGAAATTATTTGAAATATTGGGATATCTAAACCCTAATATTTTGGGAAAATCAGTTTGAAGATGCCTGTGAGATATTTGAAACACGTGTTTCATTTTGTTTAATTAAATTGAACATTTATTATGGGTTAAATAAGGTTTTGTTTCATTACAAAATTGAGTAGTATGCTTGGCTTGGTGGCAAGGGACATTCGATTTTACACTTTTGCCCCATGTTTGAGT